CCTCGCTCTCAGGCGCCACATACTGCGCATGTTGCAGCTCGGGTGCCGGCAGCGCCTTGCGGTCTACCTTACCATTGACCGTCAACGGCATTGACGCAAGAGCTATCAGCACCGAGGGGACCATATACGCCGGGACACTCTGCCCCAGCGCCACTCTCAATTGCTCACAACGCTCAACCCATCCGGCTTCTTCGACTTCGCTGAGCACCACATAACCTACGAGCCGGCGCTCAGTGCCCTCACCCCGGACGACGACAACCGCTTCCTGCACGCCTTCCTGTGATTGCAAGCGAGCACTGATCTCACCCAGCTCTATCCTAAAGCCCCGAAGCTTCACCTGCTCATCGCTACGCCCCACAAACACCAGCTCGCCATCCTGCCAGCGGACCAAATCACCGCTGCGGTACATCCGGCCGGTATCATATGGATTGGCCATAAACCGCTGAGCCGTCAACTCTGCACGACCCACATAACCCGGTGAGACGCCCACCCCTCCGATATATAATTCCCCCACACTGCCCTGCGGCTGGAGCTGACCAAGGCGACCATCGACCCCGGGAGCCCCCAGCACATAAACCTGCGTGTTCGCTATCGGGCGTCCTATCGGCACCGCATCCCCTCGCAAGCCATCCACATCTGCCTGTGTCTCTATCCGGTAGACCGTACAACCCACGACCGTTTCTGTCGGTCCATATTCATTCACAAACACACTCGCAGGCAGTACATTCGTTTTCCAGTGCCGTGCACTCCCCGACAACCACTGCTCTCCACCTACGACTATCACGTGTTCAGCGTCGCCGCTGCGCCCCTCACGCCCGGCACTTAATGCATCCAAATGGGCGGGGGTGATTTTAAACAAACGGGATACATCACTGAATAAGCGAGTGCTTAGCCGCTCCAGCATCCCGCTGACATCTTCACTGCCGTCGTCACCGCCTAAAATCTCCACCTCTTTACCGAGACACAATGGCGTCAGTAACGTGGTCAGTGTTGCATCAAAACACAAAGGAGAACTGACCACTGAGCCTACCATCACTGGAGTCAGATAACCCATCGCATGATTGAGGTAATTTGCCAACCCGGCATGGCTCACACTAACCCCTTTAGGCTCACCTGTTGAGCCTGAGGTGTAGAGGACATAAGCTTCACTCTTGGCATCCACCGCCATTATCGGACCTGAAGCGAATTCACTGAGCCAGTCTTCATCCTCCAGCATCCCATCCAGCACCTGCACATCGACATCCGCTAACGGCAGTGCATCCATCCACGTCATCGTGGTCAACACCAACGACAGGTCTGCATCTTCGATGATATAGGCCAGCCGCTGCGCCGGATAACCCGGCTCCAGAGCAACATAGGCTGCGCCGGATAACATGACGCCCAACACTGCAATCAGTTGTTCAGGGCTACGGCCCACACCAATCCCTACCCGCCGTCCGCTGCCGATCCCTTGGGCCTGCAACGCAAGAGCCAGTCGTTGTGCTCTTGCTAGTAACGTCGCATAATCCATCGTCCCCATGCCCTGCATTGTCTCATAACGCAGCGCCACCGCAGCGCCATGAGTGGTTGCCATGCGTACAATCTGGCTGACGCATTCTGTAAAGGCCGCTTCAGATTTATCGCCGCACCCCAGGGCCAGTAAGGTTGCTTGTTCTTTGGGAGCCAGTAAGTTTGCATCTGCATGCGGAGTTTCTATTTGCGCGAGCAACGTCTTAAAGGCTACCACATACATCTCTCCCAGACGTGCTATCGTGGTATCATCGTACACCAGAGTATTGTAACTCAGGGTCAGTTGCATCCCGTCTGATCCTGAAGCCCGGCTGATATCGACGACTAAGTCAAAATTTGTTTGCTCATAGCCTGAGACGCTTAAGATCTCTAATCCACGCTGCTCAACAAGTTCCCGGGCTTCTTCATAGGCATGGAAATGGGTATAGTTGAAGGAGACTTCAGAAAAGGTTAAATCATGTCGCCGTTGTATCT